TTTGATACTTTAATAATTCACTTGTTATTAAAATGGCATACACAAATGAGGAAATGGCTGATATGCACTACGTTTATGGTCTGTCGCAGATGAATGGGTTAGAAGCTAGAAGATATGCTGAAATGTATCCTCAACGGCAGCATCCTTCACATAGAATATTTCGCTGTGCTAGAACAATACTAGGACAACTTAAAAAAAGTCATTTCGAGAAAATCGACTTTTAATGCCGTAATTATACTTAACTTTTTTATTACTCAAATTAATAATAAGATCTTAACGTAGTTCGTTGTGATTTGTACATAAAAATTTACAATGAATGTTATTATTGTTATTAGGTGTCAACTTTTTTTTTAAATAAATATTTTGTAAGATGTCCTTGTATCGTTCTAGTAAAAAAATAATTTAAACACATTTTCAGAAGTTGTCTGAGTTTTTGTTTTAAGTTATCTTAGTATTGAATTGACTTATTGTTTATTTATTTAAAATTATACCTCTTTTCGTTAAAAGTATCTTTGTATTGTCCTATATTTTTTAGATAATTAGCAAACTTATCTCTATTTTTTAAATTTTTAGTTAACCTAGTATTGCACGGTTTTCACTGTAAATTATGTTTATTGTCTTTTTTTTTTTTTAATTTGTAAGTTGTCTTTCGAATATTGCGTTAAAGAAAAACAGTTATAGTAAAAAATAATATTTATTTCCACAATGTTATTCTTGAATAAAAAAGTGCTTATTACAACAAAATATTAAAAAAAAACAAATCTCCGCTTTAAAAGTTAACCAGGTACTATTTTTTCTATAAAAAAAAAATATTACTAAAAAAACTACAAATAATTGCATAATAAACAACACAAACAAATCGGGTGATACATTAAATAAAAATAATGGAAACATTTAAATTAATTTATTCGCTATCTTCATACTCTTTTTGGCCCTATTTTAAGGCTTTTAAGTTTTTAAAAATATCATGATGATCTATTGGTACATGTTTCAGCAAACTTAACAAGTCCTCTTTTTTTTATAAGTTATTTTGGGCCTGTCAATATATGCTGAAGTAAGTATATCATCGTCATTTTTTTTACTAATATTAATTTGTTTGAAAGTATCCGTGTCAAAGGTATTTTTATAATAAATTGTATTTGGATCATCTTTAGTTATACGCAACATTTTTATATTGCTCCAATATACTTTCTCACCATCCGTATTTTTGATAAAATTACCGAAATTTTTGCAAAAGTTTTCCAATCTAATATATCAGTATATTTTATATTATTTACCAAGTAAGGCTTCCCTTGTTTTCTTGCTAATTTAATAATCATTTCCACTTGTTGTGGAATATACAAAGGCCCACTTAACAGAGCTCTCTTTTTCGAAGACTCTATGCAAGAATGCATAGAATCTCCCTCGTTTTGGGAATGGCCAGCTATAAGAAATTTATGAGTTATAGATTTCACATCATAGTTTCTTACAACGTAAATAAACATAATAGCCATAAATTTATTTTTATTTTGACCCCCGCAGTTGTCCGAATAAAATGTAACATTTTTTCCAATGCAGTTGTTTATAAGCAAATTATAAACACAAGTTGAAATTTCATTACTACCTCTACGGGCTTCCCCTTCGTGCCACAAATAACATATTCCAGCTTTATTAATGAGATCGAAAGCAGTGAAATTGAGACAATACGTTTAGACTATCTGATTCGTTTAAAAAGTTATCGAGCAGAGGGCCGTCCAATTGTCTACTTAGATGAAACATACATTCATGCCTCCCACACACACCAGAAAGCTTGGAGTGATAATTCAAATGAGGGATTAAAGAAACCAATTAATAAAGGTGATAGACTAATTATTGTCCATGCAGGAGGTGAAATGGGCTTTATTCCGAATGCCCGGTTAATTTTCAAATCTGGAACCAAAAGTGGAGACTACCACGATGAAATGAATTTTAATAATTTTTCTAAATGGTTGAAAGAAAAGCTGTTTCCGAACCTCCCTCCAAGAAGCGTCATTATTGTTGATAATGCTCCTTACCATAATGTCCAGGTAAATAAAGCACCAACGTCAACTTCTAAAAAAGCTGACATGCAGGATTGGTTAAGAAATCATAATATTGCTTACGAAGAGGATATGCTCAAAACGCAATTAGTGCTATTGCATAAGTCACGATTTAAGAGGTATGCAATTGAAGAAATGATAAATGAACATGGTTTTAGTTGTTTGCGTTTGCCACCGTATCATCCCGATCTTAATCCGATCGAATTAGTGTGGGCATCATTGAAACAATATGTAGCTAGTAACAACACTACATTTAAGAGGCAAGACGTACAACTGTTGTGTGAAGACTTTTTTGATACGTTTTCTAAAGAGGAGTGGCAATCTCGTTGTAATAATGCTAAAATGTGGGAATCTAAATTTTATGACAGAGAAGTTACTTTGGATGAGGCAATTGATAGATTTATAATTAACTTAAACAGTGACAGTGAGACTGATTTTAAATCTGATATGGAAACTGAAGAAAGTTTTTCGGAAGACCATTAAAATTATATCTGCACCTAAGATCAAAAAAGTATTATCTATTTTTACAACGAAGATGCACAAGAATCAAATTTTATTTTTTTATTATTAGATAGCTATTTTTGTTTCTGAGTTGTGTTCATTTACAGGCTCAATTTTTTTCCGTTTCTCCTTTTTGATTTTATATGGGGTTTCAAGTTGTTTTTGACTTATTTCGACGTAAATCACAACAACACACTTTTTTAATAAAGCAAACAAGTGTTAAGAGGTATATGTACGTGTAAACTACAATTACAAAAAATTGATATGAAACCCATGAAACCACCAACAAAAATGTAAAGCTAGCTTCCGTACTAGAACATGGTGTCATTGGTGTTTAATAGATCAAGAAATGTAAATATTCCCCTGTTATTTTTTATAAAACTATAAGAGAAATAAATTTTTTTCTAAATAGTATAGTTTATTATTTTGTAGAAAAACAAAATTTCGAAAATTTTAGTAATATTTCAGAAACAACCGTTATTAATAATAGACACCATTTTCTTTAATAAGGTAGAAATAAAATATAAACTATTTCCACGATTTACAAAGGCCTACAAAAAAATTATAGGTATTTTCCGTTATCCTATAAAATTTATATTTTCTGACTCAATTTCAAAAGGTTGAAGGAATTCCAAAACACCTTTTATGGCATAATAATTATTTTCAATTCTACATACTATCTTTAGCTGCTTTTAAAAACGTTCTAAGAAAGTCCAATCAGACCAATTTAATCCCTAAACTATTCCACACTTTTAAAATTTAATTACCTAAAAATATTAAAAACTATTTAAAATAACTTGTTTAGCAAACTGTACAATAGCTATCTTAGTCACACGTAGCGCGTTCTCTGTCTGGGCGTCGAACACCTCTAGAAATTTGATGAACTGTATATTGTGTACAATCAACTCTAAAGATACATATTATCATGTAAAAACACTTTACAACACCGTAATAACACTGTGGTTAGTGTATACTCATTAATTCTAAATTTACAACCATGCTTTTTAAAAGCCTATGATGTAAAACAAGAAAAAATGTTTTTAAATTTACCTCAACGTCTTCCTTCGAATAACTCTAAAATTTGTAAGCATTATCTCTTACCTTTTTATATTGCACACTGTCCGGAAATTTTATTGTAAAATTGTATTCTAATTATTGATATTTATGAAAATCAAGACGAAAAAAATGTGAACTTCTGTGCTACGTGACCATTCAATAAACAATAATGTAGAATGTAGCCGACAAGTGAATATGACTCGTCGGTTTCTTAATATCATATCAATCGGATGGCCTCGGAAATTTGTGAATGCACGAATTGTCGGTTACTTATAATAATGCAGCCGGGAATATTTGTGATACCAATTTATTAGAAGCCATGTATTGCATAAACGTTCCAGTCCGCAGACGTATATTTAACTCCGCTTCATACTAATACGAATAGGGTCGGATAAAACCTTCCACGGCTATCAAAACGCCGCACCGCTGTGCCGGTCGGGGTGGGGGTGTTAGGTTTATTTTCGTTACGAAATTACGAAATTTCTTGATTCGGTCGCCACGCTAAAAGTCCGCGATAAAAGCTATGTAATAGCTTAAATCTAAAAAGTACGTTTTTAGGAACGTTTTTTTTTTAATTTGTGCAATTGCATTCTGGTAGAAAGTTATTTTTAAGTGTTGCAAGTTACTGTTAGGGCTTGTATATAGGTTTAATTATTTATAAAATCTTTTTTACTTCGTTTATCTTATTCAGGTACTTTTATTTTTTAATAATAGGTTATTAAATAAAATTTTCACAGATTTTATATTTTTGTTTGTATAGAATTATTAAAATCTCTGAAATGTGACAAATTAATGAGAAAAAAACACAAACAGCTTATTAAATATTATTTAGTCTTGCAAAGTAAATTTATTTGCTTAAAATTCACATAGAAATGTGAGGTTTATGTAAGCTACACTAAATGTTTTAAAAACGCTGTTAGGCAATCCTAAATATACCTTCGATTTATTTTTAATTATTTTCATTGTTTTTGAAGATCATGCTCATTATTATTAAGTCCTTTTGAATCAGATATTAGAGATGTTTCTCCTGATTCAGACAAAACTTTTAGGAGATTCTGGATATTCTTGCGAAATGGTTTTTATCCGAAGGAAACAATGTCAAAAATTGCTGCTGCTTTTTGAAGATTCGATGTATTTTTATTAAATAGAGATGAAAAACACGTCTTGTAAAAGGTTATTTTCTTTATTAGTCAACTTTTCAGAAGACTTTTTTTATGTTTTCTATTTTTGTTTTTTTGGCTGAATCAGAGAGCTGGCTCTTGTGTGGTGAATAACAAATACTTTGGATATATTTGCGTGGTACTACCTTCTTCTTTCTGATTCGAGTAGGTTTCTGAAAACACATATATTTTTCAAATTAAATTTGTATTAGTTTATATTCTAAATTCACAGATACAAATTTCCCATTACAATTTTTACCAAAGCAACACTATTTAAAAAAATAATTAACAAAATATCTATTTTAAAAAATTAGGCAATAAAATATATTATTGTTTTAAAAAATTATAAAATTTGACTATTTTCGGTAATGGTTTGGTTGATCCAGTTGGCAAAATTAGAAACCTTGGTGAATATATTTGGAGCTCCTATAGAACCGCATGGGTTAATGTAATATGTGATGGTACCGATTACGGTTCCGTCTTGAGACAGAGGACCACCGACGTCACCATCGCAATTGTTTGATTGTTCGTTTAAGGTACATACGTTGCTATCGTTATCTACAGGCCTATTTCCTGGGATGAGTTTTTCGATGGCTGTGTTACATTCTAAAACGATAAAAGAGAATGTATAGTATATTTTATTTACTAGAATTAACTAAAATGTTCAATAATCTTATTTTTATGCTAAAAGATACTCACCATCGGTAGAAACAAGCGTTACATTAGGAGAAACATTAAGTTTTTCGGAGCTACCGTAACCAACTACAACGGCTGTACCGTCGAATTCTTGGCCTTTCGTTGGTAATTTTGCTGGTTGTACTTTGTCGTTAAAGGTCAGTGCTTCAGCTAACTGAAGTAGAGCAATATCATTTGGACCGACTCTGGAAAAAAATTGGTATTTCTTTACATACATTTCGGATGAACGTTTCAAGACAATCATTTAAAATTCTTCTAAAAGAGAGTTACAAAAACTTACGAATTGGTGTAGTTAGGATGAACATATGTAGCTGCAACTTTAACGGCAACTTTGTCTTCTCCCTGTAAGTTAGAAACTCCAACAACAACCTGTTGAGCGTAATTTAGAAAAGCACCACTGGTCAATACCCAGTTTTCGTTTACGATTACACCACCGCCAATGTGTTGGCAAAAGCCTGAATCACACCATTGAACGGAAGCTACGAATGGATATTCCTCTATTGTGGTTTTAGTGCCACCTTCAATATTCAGGCGCTTGTTGAAAAATTTGGCATTTGGTGCTCCTAAAAAAAAGTATTAATTAAAAATTAAACCAATTTTGGAATTTATTGATAAAATACAGTTACGATTGAGTAACTCACGAAATATTAAGCAAGTCTGAAAATTTAGAACAGACACTAAAAGAAGAAGAGAAAGAGTAATGCAAAACGTAAAACACTGTAATAGCTGAAATATTACGAGAAAAATAAATGACAATCAGAAGCGGCTAGAATAGCAACAAACAAGAAAGTATGGCGAAAGTCTGTGGATGAAAATTAGAAGCAACATATCCCACATCTTACAGTAGAGGGATATTTATAAACTACTCTGCAGTGGTGAAGTTGCCAAAAATCTAAATTAAATGTAAAATCGAAATATTGGAGATTTCTTTTGGCATAGGCATATTGCCATTCAGCCAGACACAAATTCGTCCATAATTAGAACTACCCAAGAATATTTCCTAACAACAAGAGGTATAAGAAGAAGAAAAACAATGAAGAATATAGGACGGGGACACTCGCTTCTCGTCCAAGGACCCATCAGGACGTTTTTTTTTAATAGACAAACAAAATTAGGCCTCGGTAAGAGGGTAAACAAATAGATATAATACAGAGGAAACAAGATTAAGATTCTAATCATAGACGAATCGTGGTATCTTTCAGAAATTGTAAGAGGCAATTGATAATATCATCAGAAAAATGTATTAAAGCTGTTTCAATATTTAAGGGGGATGGAATGTTATTTTTTATAGGACTCATATAAAGCGTGTTTAAATGTACTCCAGTTGTTTTACAAAAGTCACAATTTTCATCTTCATTTACATTAATTTTAAAAGTGTTTAGGATAACTGGCATGACCAAATCTGGTTCTAATTAAAGATGTAATGTAGTGTCTTGTAATAAAATGATTTTCAAACCAGGGTCACTTTGGAATATGTCTTTGAATTTTAGTGTACTGATTCGAATAAGTGATATAGAATTGTGAGAGATTTTTTGATTAATGAAAAGAATTGTCGAATGAAGTTTTGAGAAAAGTCGTGGAGATAGTTATAAAAAAATTGGAAATATTTTGTTGAAATAAGTAGAAGAAGGTATTTGGGTTGAAGAGAAGGGAGAATTAGATAGCAGAAAAGATAATTGATCAGAGGAAAACTAAGTGTAAAAGAAGAAAGCATAAAAAGATGCTGAAAGGATATCACCCAGGAGAAAAAAGGAAAACATGAGTGAGCAAAGGAGCAACGAAGAAAATAACTACAAAGTAATTTTTTTAACTTTAATTTACTTTTTTTGTAAATTTTTAGATTTTTAAATTCTTTGTTATACACATAAATATATTGATATAGAAATTAATGAAGTCTCGAAAACGTATCATGAGGGATGAAGTGTCCAAAAGAAAAAAATTGAAAACAGAAAATCAGGATATCATGTGATTTTTACTTTATTTTTAAATTATCAGGATAAAAAGGATTTTTGTTGAGAAAAAAAATTTTTAACGGGATTTTTAAATGGTTTTAAATTTGTTTAACGGGATTTGGATTGTTTGAAACTGTTAAAAGTTGAAATAATTGAAAGTTAAATAAAAAAAGATAGAGGTTGAGTGGTGTGTACACACTAGGTAATAAGAAATGAAGCAAAAAGGTATTTAAAGTGTGTAAATATTGAGTTTTATTTAATAGTCGCGTGAAAGTAGGACTAAAAACGCAGAAACTTCGAACTTTGGTCAAAAAGGTCCGATTGGGCTATTGTTTTCTGCAAAATGTTTATTGAGACATGAGATTTAAAGTTCACCAAAATCTAGATGCCGCTCGGCTTCCCTTCCGCCCTAAATTCACCCCAATTGAGCCAACAAGCCACATATTTTCTAAAACTGCAGTCCCAAGCGGGGCAAATGTTCCACTTGGGGGGGGGTGGGGTTTGAAGTGCCTTGAATCCATTATTTGGGTTAGGTTGCCTTTGCGACCTTCCCAGGGGTGTGTGACAGGGCGTCTGGGGTTCAAAATATGAGATGTCCCTGGAAATGTGTTTGGACTGCGTCAGAGGGGTTTAGAAGGGCGGAGATCTCAATTTCATCGAGAATTAAGCCTTTTCAAGCTATCAGAGCCATATACACAGGGGCCCATGGGGTCTCAAATTTTATGATTACGCGGGATTGAATTTCAGAAATGTAAGTGTAAATGTTCAGGTATGAAGTGCACGATGACTTGTAAAAATTGTTTGGAGAAAGAGTGTGATAATTTAAAATTGGCTGCAATTGAAATTCAGCCTGTCGACAACCTTCATTCAGTATTGGATTTAAATCTCTTAATAGAAAGAGACCAACCTTATATGGACAATTTATTGGGGACGATATTCAAGATCACTGAAACAGATGATTTGTTGGAAGAAGCTGAATAAGAAGATGGAAGAACACAACACGATGGAATATGAATTTGTTATAGAAAAAAGAAAAAAAATTATATTATTCTGTAAGAATTGTTTTGTTGAAATGTCAAATTTTTCTATCATACCAGGCTACATTAAATATTCATGAAAAAATCTAATTCCATTTCACGTTGAAGTATTTCTTTTTTAATTTCATATCCACTGCAACCGTTTTACCAGCCTCAAAAGGTTAGCTCTCCGGCCAGGTGAGTTATATCAATTTTATGTAATGAAATCAAATAGAATCGTCCCAGGTGAACATGATAGTTTCGGCCCCTCAGGATACTTGTTCGTGCATCTCTGGGGCTACATGCTTGCAACATAAAATTACATCCTTAAAAACCCTAATTATGCCGTCATCAACTTTATATGAGAAAATTGAATCTTACGAGAATTTAAATTTGGGCTCCCCTATCAGCCATATCTAGGTTCGTCAGAGACTCAAAAAGACAAAGAAGTATACTCGGTGAAGAAATTATATCAATTTTACATTTTAATATCAAATAAAATCAAATCTCATATTTATTTTGGGCCCAGCACCCTGTTCGGACACCCCTGGTTGGGTCACAGGATGACAGGCTGCCCAAATTTAGATTTCTTTGTTTTATAACACTAGCGCGTACCAATTCTGTGTCCTGAAATTCAATTCCGCGTGATCATGATATTTGAGACCCCATGGGCCCCTTTTTATACGACCCTGAGGGCTTGAAAAGGCTTAATTCTCGATGAAATTGAGATCTCCGCCCTTCTAAACTCCTCTAGCGCAATTTGGAAGCCCAAATACATTTCCACGAACATCTAGTATATTGGACCCCCAGTGGCCCTGTCACCCACCCCTGGGAAGGTCGCAAAAGCGACCTGACCCAAATAATGGAATCAGGGTACTTTAAAATCCCCGAATGGAACATTTACCCCGCTTGGGACTGCAGTTTTATGAAGTATGCGCCTTTTGTTGAAAAAAGACGAGAATTCCCCCCAATTGGGGTGAATTTGGGGGGAGGGAGGCCGAGCGGCATCTAGATTTTAGTGAACTATGAATCTCATGTCTCAATGAACATTTTGCAAAAAAAAATTTGCCCGATTGGACCTTTCCGACCAAAGTTCGAAGTGAAAACCTACTTTGACGCGACTATAATGTCAATAGGTTGATATTAAAAATAATAACAGTAATTGGTACCACTAAGCAAGCAAAGTCAAGTTATGGCGAGACTTTTAAATTATTAGACAACAAATAATTATAATGAATTAAATAGAATTATAGGTTATACAGCACATACTTCGATTTTATCTTACGATATGGGGAATGGTCGCACTGCGCAGCTTTTTGAGTGCTTTTTAAAAGGAGATAAAAAACTCCAGCCATTTTGACGCCTTATTACGTGTTGCCTACATTTTGGCGCAATAGCTTTAGTCATGTTTTAGTGGTTATGTTATAGTATTTTTTTTATAAATTTTAAATAACGATCAAAATACATGTCGGTCATACATGACTGACATAGCAACATATGAGTGACATGGTGATCAATGAGTTATAATAATTGAAATATTATTGATCTTTAGTAGAATTCTTGCATATCATTATAGCTTCAGTATTCTGTTATGCATTATAATGAATAAGAAAGAATTCAAATATGTAAAAAACGCCAAAAATATTAAGAAACAAGCAACCTTTACTTACCATAGCACAGTGCTACAGCAGCGAGAAAGATAACAACTTTAGCACTGAACATTTTGTTTCGTCTGACAAATTATATTTTTTTCGCGGTGTCTTATTTATAGGATTTTTTTCGAGTAAAAAAATTGATCGGTACTTTTTTTAATGAAATTTACAGCGTTTAAAAATTACAAGTACAGATATCTATGTAAATTTATGTTTAATTTTTATAGATAGTAAGAATTTTTAAAATGTGTCTAGTTATTATCTATCTAAATTGGATTAATACGAGTATTTGTATAAAATGATAAAGTTTTTAGTAGATTTTAATTTATTTTTTTGGTACCTGATAAATATTTAAAAAAACTGTATTATTTTTTTAAATTCGCTCCAATTTCACACTTGACTGTCACCTACTTATTAATAAATTACTTATTATTTATTTCTTACTGTTCATATTAATTTTGGTAGTTTTTATTAAAAGAATAAAATGTATTATTCTTTTGAAATTGCTATAACACATAATCGATTAATTTCGATTCATCAATTATTTTCAATTAATTATTTTCGAATAATCGGGAAAATGGGCCGTTTACATGTGAGATATGCTTTTTAAGCTATTGCATAGCTTTTATCGCGGGATTTGAGTGCGGTGACCGAATCAAGAACTTTCACGATTCCGTAACGAAAAAAACCTAACACCCCCCAGTCCGACCAGCACAATAAAAGAAAATCGAAAAATCGAAAAATCGAAAAATCGAAAAATCGAAAAATCGAAAAATCGAAAAATCGAAAAATCGAAAAATCGAAAAATCGAAAAATCGAAAAATCGAAAAATCGAAAAATCGAAAAATCGAAAAATCGAAAAATCGAAAAATCGAAAAATCGAAAAATCGAAAAATCGAAAAATCGAAAAATCGAAAAATCGAAAAATCGAAAAATCGAAAAATCGAAAAATCGAAAAATCGAAAAATCGAAAAATCGAAAAATCGAAAAATCGAAAAATCGAAAAATCGAAAAATCGAAAAATCGAAAAATCGAAAAATCGAAAAATCGAAAAATCGAATAATCGAAAAATCGAAAAATCGAAAAATCGAAAAATCGAAAAATCGAAAAATCGAAAAATCGAAAAATCGAAAAATCGAAAAATCGAAAAATCGAAAAATCGAAAAATCGAAAAATCGAAAAATCGAAAAATCGAAAAATCGAAAAATCGAAAAATCGAAAAATCGAAAAATCGAACAATCGAAAAATCGAAAAATCGAAAAATCGAAAAATCGAAAAATCGAAAAATCGAAAAATTGAAAAATCGAAAAATCGAAAAATCGAAAAATCGAAAAATCGAAAAATCGAAAAACCAAAAAACCAAAAAATCGAAAAATCCAATAATCGAAAAATCGAAAAATCGAAAAATCGAAAAATCGAAAAATCGAAAAATCGAAAAATTGAAAAATTGAAAAATCGAAAAATCGAAAAATCGAAAAATCGAAAAATCGAAAAATCGAAAAATCGAAAAAACGAAAAATCGAAAAATCGAAAAATCGCCTGACTGTCACCTACTTATTAATAAATTACTTATTATTTATTTCTTACTGTTCATATTAATTTTGGTAGTTTTTATTAAAAGAATAAAATGTATTATTCTTTTGAAATTGCTATAACACATAATCGATTTCAATTAATTATTTTCGAATAATCGGGAAAATGGGCCGTTTACATGTGAGATATGCTTTTTAAGCTATTGCATAGCTTTTATCGCGGGATTTGAGTGCGGTGACCGAATCAAGAACTTTCACGATTCCGTAACGAAAAAAACCTAACACCCCCCAGTCCGACCAGCACAATAAAAGAAAATCGAAAAATCGAAAAATCGAAAAATCGAAAAATCGAAAAATCGAAAAATCGAAAAATCGAAAAATCGAAAAATCGAAAAATCGAAAAATCGAAAAATCGAAAAATCGAAAAATCGAAAAATCGAAAAATCGAAAAATCGAAAAATCGAAAAATCGAAAAATCGAAAAATTGAAAAATCGAAAAATCGAAAAATCGAAAAATCGAAAAATCGAAAAATCGAAAAATCGAAAAATCGAAAAATCGAAAAATCGAAAAATCGAAAAATCGAAAAATCGAAAAATCGAAAAACCAAAAAACCAAAAAATCGAAAAATCCAATAATCGAAAAATCGAAAAATCGAAAAATCGAAAAATCGAAAAATCGAAAAATTGAAAAATTGAAAAATCGAAAAATCGAAAAATCGAAAAATCGAAAAATCGAAAAATCGAAAAATCGAAAAAACGAAAAATCGAAAAATCGGAAAATCGAAAAATCGCCTACCGGAAAAAGTACTTAGAATACTGAAGAAAAGTCCCCTAAAATAACAGGAAAGGCTAATTAAATCTGCAAATTAAAGGTAAGGTCAGTGAAAAATAACGAACAACAAAAAAATAACAAAAAAGCAAACATACCACCAATTGTAGTCGACGGGCGCACAGATAACCACAAAACACCAACAAGCGACCTAAAAGAGATAATTAAAGGGAAATACTTTGTAAAATATACGAATGCTACTGTAAGGGGTTTTCTCGTCTCAGAGAAAACGATTACTTACAAATGACGCCTGTTGACGGGACGGCTCTCGGGCGCCAGATTTTATGTGTGGTTTACTCCACAAACTTTCGAAACGGCGTCGAAAGTACCCGGGCAGCACAGATGGAGATGAAAAATTCCAGGGGTCGTTGGTCACTCAGACACAGGTAATAAGTAACCACAAGTAACGGGCTTTAATCGTGACTTGTGGTGATAAAGAATTTCTCACTGCTGAAATAAAGGGGGAAGTAAATTAGGGATCAGTTACCTCAGTAACAGTCAAGGTAACGTTGACACATATATTGAATTTAACTATTTACAACAAAAAAAAATAAATAAATATTTCAACGCCCACCCCCGCTCGTATTTTTAAAACCCTGATCAAAAAGAAAAACAAACAGATCGGCTTTGATTAGTCTCAATTGGACGGTATAATTAGAATTAAAAGAAAGATGCTCGGTGGCAATAGTAACTAATTAAAAAATTGTCGGTTTGGTGGTTGAGCCAAAACGAAACCAAAAACAAAATTACTATTTCAGTTAAAGAAGAAAAATGGCAAATAATTGCGGTCGTAGCAAAATTTTGCTAGTTAACTGTTAAATCGGTAAAAAGATTGAACTTAAATATTTTGTTTCGTAAAAGCAGAAATAAAATCACGGTCGTAGAAAAAGTTATCTGGTTATCTGGTTATCTGGTTAACTAGCTAGTCGGTATTGAAACTGAAACAAACCTCCTTGTGTTATTGAATAGGGAATAGATAAATGATAAGAAAACGGGATAGTATCAATCCTATGAGAAGTGTACTCGCCAAAACCAGCCCGCTCAACATAAAAATGATACTATCATTTTAATCACAGGGCGGAGGTAACTAAAAAAATAATCAAAAACCGGGTTAGTATTCAATCCTATGATGAGTGTACTCGCCAAAACCAGCCCGCTCAAACATAAGACAAAATATTAAACCGGGTCAGTATTTATCCAATGATGAGTGTATTCGCCAAAACCAGCCCTCTCAAACATAAGAAAAACACTAATATTTTAATCACGGCTAGGGGTTAATCTAAAAAAATCTAAAACCGGGATAGTATGTAATCCCATGTGAGCTTTCTCGCCAAAACCAGTCCACTCAATATGAAAAGTGATACTATTTCAACTTTCCAACTTTCGAACTAATTCTATTCCCAAGTAAAGAAACATAAATAATAAAAAAAAAAATTAAACCAGATTGTGAACAAATAGAAACAAAATTTACGGTCGTAGTAAAAGTTAAGTAATTAACTATATACGGAATTTAATTTAAATTTAAATTTATTATTACTTAAAAAAAGTAGAAACAACATCCACGGTCGCAATGAAAATTAAGTAATTAACTGTATACGGAATTTAATTTGAAATAGAAACACAATCCTTGGTCGCAATAAAAATTAAGTAATTAATAAAATAGAAACAAATTTTCTACTTCCTAATAACCAAAACTAATTTCCAATGTTTATAAAATCAAAACTAAATAATTTATATGTAAATCAAAATATTTTTAACGAAAATCTAAAGTCAATTATTATTTCTATTAAATAAAATCGAAATCGGAATAATTTAGTCAAATAAAACTGGTATTCGGACAGAAAAAAAAACGTAAACATTAATTCGGTGTACCAAACTACGGTTTCGGCGATGATTTTACAGCGTAAATCGAAGTAGACTTTTCGAGGTCGGATAAATGAATTTAAGCTGGTCGAATCAGTAAAGTGAATGAATGATTTTTAATACTAAAAATGCTGAATCCGAGTCTCTATGCCCAAGCAGGCTAGTTCCCCACTCGATTTGCGCGGATCGCGCGCGCTATTGTTACTCAGGTAGGTATAATACGCGAATTTAAATGAAACAAAATTTGATATACAGGGTCTACCCATGAAGTTAAAATAAAATAAAAATAAAAATTTATATCCGGAATAGGCCGAAATATAGTAATGAAAATTGACTTCATTACACTACTTCGGTGATTTTTACATAAAATCAAGAAGATTATACGGCATTACTAGGCAGCATAAAACAGGCAGATGTACCCCACCACACGTATACAAGTAAAGACAAAAAAAATCCACGCTTTCATCTTAAAAGGTCCAGCCAACGGCACAGATAAGGCATTAATCGAAGAAGACTTGATATGAAATCATTCCGAAAGACATTTTCTAAATGACCACTAAACATCGTCCATTATTTTTAGTCATTACCGACCCCACCATACTCTCGATTACCTAAACAAGAATGTTATGGTAATCGAGAACACACGAATCATCTGGGACCTCAGAAAATCAACGAGAAGCATAATCCAATGTCACAGCTGCCAGGCTTGGGGACATGCCACATCAAACTGTGGCAGACCCCCAAAATGTTTAAAATGTGCAAGAGATCACTTGACACGAACGCGCATAAAAACGAGAGACACCCCCGCAACATGTGTCAGCTGCCTAGGTGCACACCCAGCAAATTATAC